CTAACTCTGCTACTGGTTTGTATTTGTTACTGTATTGTTATTTAGAGATTCCCCCTCCCAAAATCTGTTACTCCAATGTCTGCTACCATATCCAAAACCTATAGCTTGGAAGGGATATGTTAAGCCCTCGTCCTCAGGATCTTCCAGGGAAAACATAGGAATTCTAGTCACTTAAATTTGATTTTCTAAAGATTAATTATGAGATTAATGATGCCACTATTTCAACAAGCTATGCTTCCAGCTTTGCTTTTGAAGTCCACAGAAAAATCATCAGCATAAATATTTTATTAAGACAGAATAGATAATATGATGTATAAAACTTAATTTGAATATTGTTACAGGTGAAGTTGTCCATTTAGAAATAAGACACATAGACCAGATCTACAGTATAAGTAATATAAATGTGACTTTGAAAAGGTAAGGGTGAAGGTGTTCATAAATAATTGAACAGGGCTTTTCAGGCACATGTTCTGGTCAAGACAGCTCATATTTCTAGGCAAATATATGCAGTTTTGCAACAATCTTAAAATGGCAGTTTATGCAATTTACACAGTTGAGATGTAAACATGTAAACACCACCACCAGTTTAAGTATTCAAACTTCAAAAGAATGTTATAATATTCAAAAGATTTAGAAAAGAGACAGAATTTCTTGAAATACAGAGACCAAAAAAAAAAAAAAGGTTGTGTACTGAAAAATCTGAAACATTCATTATGCTGAATTTATCCAAAAGGAAAATCTCTAGATGAGAGTCTATTGGAAGCATTTCTAATACTAAAAACATCTATATATTTTGCAAAAAAAAGCATAACAAGATCTCATGACAGAGAAAGTGCAGCTATAAAAAAATTGTTTGCATTTGCTCTAAATGACAATGAAAATAAGGAACACCTTATACTTTGCTTAACCCTGTATTCTTCCTTCTTTAAAACAATTCATTTTTCTTTCTTTTCTTGAAAATATTTTTCACCCAAGCAAAAACTGGACACAATGTGAACATTTTTAAGCTTAGATCTATAATTTGTTTTATATGTAAGAAAGTTTAGACACATTATTTCTTCTGTGTTTATTTTGGAAACAAAATTTTTTATAGAAAGTTTTTGAAATGGGAATACAAACCGAGTAGCCAGTTCAGAACATAAAGGAAGACATTTTTTCCCAAAGATTCAAGTTCAGATCAAAGCTCTTAAATGGATATCTAACAAGCTATACAACAGCACTACATAACAAAGGTGTTAATTTAAAAAAAACATCTTAATCTAGACTCTACTTGGAAGACATGCAAGAAACAAAGACAAATTCCTGAATTTTTCCATCAGATATAATATTCAAAAATATTTGGACATTATCTCATAAGTTTGGTTGTTTACTTTTTTTTCAGATGCATTTGTTCATATATGCCATATAATATAATCATGGTATAGAACAGGCATTTTGAAAACATTTCTCTTATAACTTTCTATCAAAAGAAATATCAGTATACACTTCAAATAAAAGTTTGGATTTTTTTCAAATCTTTATTTTCAAGCAGAAAACTCCCATGATTTTGAGCAAACATAACTTTTGTTACTTTAAATTAAAATTTTATTCTTTCAGATATTTGTTACTTCAAATAATTACTATTTTTATTAATATTCCAACTACATTAGTACCCACCCTCCTGCAACAGTGAATTGCAGAAGCACAAATATATTTATTTCTTGGTCAAATGAAACTGCTACTTAGAAAGTTGTGTTTAATACTACAAAATATAGACCCGGTCATCAAAGCAAAGCAATTAGGAAGATAATTCACATTTGGCCACATCCAATGAAGACTGTTTTTCTCATTATGCCACTTAGTTCAGTTTGAATACATGAACTTGAATTCAGTTCATTGTGCTTGGACAACTGGAAGGAGAATTTGAATTAAGAGCACTAATTAAAAACAAAAGTGAGTGTAATTCAACACATTGGGACTCAATCCAACATTGTGTACTTACAGAGAATACCAGCAGGAAGAGTGCAAATTATTTATTTTCTATCAACCCCTACAACAGAGATTTTATATAATTATTGTTCAACTGCATCCCTCCATAATGGCTGTTGAATTCACTTGGACACCTCAAAAAATAGGCTAACTTTACACCCCCACCCCAGGAAATAATTTTGACTTACAGGCACTTTAGGATATTACCAAAGATCTTTAAATCACTCTTATTCAAGTAACAAAAGCAGTCTTTCTTTTTCATCCTGGTGCATTTTTTTTAATAGCGTTTATGTAAAACAGTGTGTCAAACTTTTCTTCTATGATCTCTGCAATTCTCCGTAATTAGTTGAAGAATGAAAGTTATGGGTAAACACATCATTTTTCTTTTAGAACTGTAGGAAATGTAGAGAAGAAAACCAATCAAATTCAAGTTTTGTGATATTAGAAATCATTAATAAACAGATATCAAACAGATATGAATAAAAGTAGCTGCAGCTGAGATTTTACTGAATCATGGACTGATAACCCACTATGACAGAAATGAAGCACAGTACCCTGGGAAAGTAAATCTTAGTGACCCAAAGAAGACAATGTCTAGCTCAGACTCTCACTTCTGTTGCTGAGATACTGCGGTCACAAATATAGCCTCTGCGTGCTTCCTAAGTAGAGAATTCTTTACAACAGCCTTCTGCTACTACATACATGGGAGTTCTTCAACATATTCTCAATTTTAATTTTGAATAGAGATCAAACATTTGCTTCGAGTTGTATGCATGAAGAAGGGTTCTGTGGATTTTAGTTTTTATTTAATGCATTGCAGGCTTGAACCTACAACCCACAAAAATTGGAAATAAAATATGTGAAAAAAGCATATTTTTCACACATTTAACTGTAAAATCTGGTCTGAAAAAAAAGGCTATCAAAATATTCACATCCTAAATTGCCAAAGACTAAGTACTTCTGTCATCTCCTGACAGCATTCCTGGAGCTCTTGTAAAAACATAATTGTACCAGATGTAAAGAAGATGAAATATGTATTTTCATCAATTTAACAAAATAGAGAATAAAAATGTAATAGCTTTTACTCATTTTGTTTCCTAGCATTGATCAAAGCCAGTAACTGCTTGCCAAAAAGAGAACAAGACAGATGATTTTGTTCTTCCTATGTACTTTTTTCACATTAAGGAATATTTCTGCATCTCTTCTTGTTTTCAAGGGATGAAATCACATTAATTCAGTTCATGCTATGACCTTACTATAAAAAATTAGAAAGTCAAGGTCTATTTTCGTAGTTAATTTCGTAGTTAATGTTTGGAGTGTTTTGTTGTTGTTGTTGTTGTTGTTGTTGTTGTTGCTTTTGGTATTTTTATGTATGTTTTTGTTTTCATTTTTTTCCATTTCAGTGCTAGCCATGTTAAGTGGTTATGTGGCCTACCTTCTTCTAGGATGGCATAATGATTAGTTGTTCTTAGTTTTGCATTGTTTGTTTGCTACCTAGAAAATTCAGATGGCTTCATTCTGAAACTTGTTTTGATGCTGAAATCCAAGAAAAAGGGAGAGATATTCAGTGAAAGGAGTGCTACAGAGTTAAATTTTATAGTCACATATAAAAATATTCTCAGATGAGTAAGTTAAAATCCTGTTAGATCTCACAAGCACCTCCTCTCTTCTCAATGCTGTCTGCTGTTGACTGAATCTAAAATCAAATTGCCTATGTACATTCATAGTACACATGAATCTGTACACATGGATCTCAGGATCTATTTCTCAATGGTCTATTAAAAACAAAGATGCAAGGGAAATTAGTAAGAGAAATACAGCAGCCTGTGAAACCTAGAAGAAGATCATGAATAAATATGGTAACATAGGAACAAAAAAAATCTGTAACCAAGAAATACTATGAAAAATTTAATGACTGAAGACACCTTAATAATAACTTTTTTAAAGTTCTTTCCTACTAAATGGCTTGCTAACATAACAAGCATTCATATCAGTAAAACATAGTATGAATAATAAATCCTAGTGTGAGTATCCTCTGCTAATTTTTAGTAGCAGAAAGAATCACTATAATTAATTAACAAGCCCTATACATTCTTGTAGCTCCTTGGACATGGACACCAAGAATTGTAATACAGAAAACCAGAGACAGTTGTTATGCTTTCAAGCCAACAGCAGAATAGAAGTTTTAGTAATAATACCTATCAATTGTATTTCACAAGTAATTGGACAGAACAAAATATTAGTATAAAAGTGTTCTATGGCAATAAAAAGTCAAATTTTAACCCAGGTGCTAGAGAACATATGTACCACATGCAAAAAAACCCAGGAAAACAAGGAGTTTAGGACTTCTTTGGAACTATAATCCTAGTGTTGGTACATGGAATCTATACTAAAAAGAAAAAGAAAGTAGCTTTCAGAGGGAAAGTTTGTGGATCAAGTACAATGGGATACCAAGTAACAAGTAACAGAGAGGGAAAAAAACACCAAAAAACCCTCCCCAAAACAACCCAACAAACTAAGGACAAGTGATGTGACGTAGAGGATATTGCAAAAAGGTCAATAGTGAGTTAAGAATGCAAACTCAAATTTTAGTTGCAGCTTGAAAATTTTGTCATGATTTGTCTAAAGTCAGAGTGTCTATAAAAGACGGTATGGTAAAAAGGTAAAATGAGCAGTAACAAGAAGAAGATATTATATTTAAAGAAATTCTTAAGGAATTCAAAGAGAGACTACTGGAGAAAATAGGAGTGGTCTGTAACTTCTGGCTATGGTGTGCATATTTAGTCTACAGAGCAGTCTAAGTATGACAGGACTGGAGAATGAAAAATGTGGAAATTCTTTTACAGGGCCACCTGTGAAACCACAAACAAATAAGACTGATGCTCATACATTGCTAATGTACTTAGTAGACTCTTGTATAAATACAACAAATTGAGGAATAGTCAACATGATTTCTAGACTGGATAGTTCTGGGTCATAATCCCACTGAAGTTCTTCTCCTGCTCACAGAAGGATCAGCTGTGAGGTCAGACCCCAGAATTCAGACAGAGAGTACATGGACAAGGTAGGGTCATTTGATACAATCTTTGAGTTTATAAAAGTACTTAGCAAGTTCATTCATCAGTTATCTAAGGAAACAGCCATGACATGAAAGATCTTGCAGGATAAGTAATTAGTTAAGAGATGGATATGGATAGTAGGAGCAGATGGTCAATCTTTATGAAAGGGTGTTTACAGATATCTGTGCTACAACCAAGGTTTATATTAAATGTTTGTATGAATCATCTGGAAAGGAAGGCAAGTAGTGAGGTGATGCTGATGGTATCAAATTACTCAGTTTAGTAAACATGAGAGCTAACAGTAGGTGCAGAGTTTAAGAAGATCCTTCTTTTTGAGGGCTGGTACCTGCTACTCTGAAAATATACAATGTAATGAAGATGCCCCTCCACTTTTTGGACCCTTTCTTGTGCCTTTCTAAGAGAAATTATGTTGCAGGAGTGACAAAAAGAGAAAAGTACTTCCCAATTTCTAGTTTTACTGAGTGTAAGATAAGATGGACAGTGTAAAGACAGAGACCAAAAAGGTTTAACTTATTTGGAGGAGAATAACTTTTATGGCAACAAAGATAAAGTTCTACTCTCTGAAGTATAATCTAATCTCTCCAAAATTGTCACTGACTGAGCTATAATGCAATTCTATGAGGTATTTCCTTTGCAACTTATTTCAAGCCTAATGACCGTTATGATCTGAATTAGCCAGAGAAGGTAAGAGATTCATTACCTAACAGGTTGTAGAAGAGCACTTTCTGAAGTCCACTCATTTGATATCATTGCTACTAGGTTCTCTGAACTTCATATTTACTCCATAAAACCACACTCAAGGAAAACGGCACGGAAAATTTGCCTATGTATGTCCCTTTTTGTGAAACTACACCTCCCATCCTGCAAAGGTAGAAAACAGTAAAGCTAATTCATGCTCTGATAAAAGAGATGAAGTACATGGTCCATGTGTTCCCTCCTTGTGCCTGCCCCTAGCACATCCGCTTTCCTCCTTGCTTTTTGCACAGAAAAAGGTGGTGAGTTAGGAAAAATGAGCCAATAGTGACTGCGCTAAGGTAATTTGATATGGAAATGGCATCTTCTGTATGGAAAGAACTGCTTGATTTTTGATAGTTTTGGTTTGGTTTTTTTCCCCCCTACAAACTCTCAAGGCCCTGTAGTGTCTAACAGGCTTTACTGACTATGACTATTCTCCCCTTCAGCCTCCCTGCATCCCTGCCCATGGGCCCAGGAGCCCATTTCGGCCCAACCTGGAGACCGAGCTATGTTGTAGATGTGCCTGTCTGTGGCCTGTCTCTAAACTGTTGTTTGAGAAGTTATGCCATCCCTTTCTGTCATGGAAATAGTGATGCACTTTACTTAACAGAGAGAAGCTACAATATATTTTATAAATATAAGACACTGAGTTAACAGTGGTAAATTGGTTAAGGGTTTAACAAGATTCCATGGCAAGGTACACTTGATTATTTACTGCATAGAACACAAAACTGTTAGGGAGACCCTCCTGATGAGCCATGAGGTTCAGAAAGGACACCCTTGAGTTCTAAACTCCTTCCCAGAGTGGAGTCTAGGTGCGGCTGAATCCAGACAGTGCCAACTTTATCAACAGTTTATATCTAAGGATTAGGTATTCTTTTTATAACTTAGCTAAGATTTCAAAATTTCAGTGCAATTATTTCCAAGTCATTTATTCAGTACCTGACACAATAAGAAGTAATTTTAAGAGGCATCCCTACTCAAGAGGAGATCCTGGCATGCAGCCTGCCACCATGCAGGAGAGCTCAGTGGGCTCTAGGCTGTTCACTATTTATGGAGCAAGATGATCGACTTATAGTCACATTTGCACACCAGCCATATTTCAGATGGTGCTTTCTCAACTAGCCCTCAGCAGCTGAGTAAGATTTATAGCCCTTAGCCATTGTGTTATCTGTCCCTCCAGAGTTCAATTTAAGCCAGATGCAGCCATCAGGACCAGCAGCTGTTGCTTAAGCAGAGAGCAGGGCAGGGGAGCACAGAACCACACCTTCTCATCTCTTTGGGTAAGAGCGAGTCTCTCTTCACCTAATAATTCTTTTGAGCACTTGTTACTGTTTGAATGGTCTCGGTGAAAAAGAACAGCAGTATAATGGAACCTGATGTATTTTATTATAAGGTTATCCTTTTGAAAGTGATCAGATTAATATGTGAGTAGGTACAACTCACAAAACTATGTTAAAATTTATTTAGGGGTCACTATATGGCATATTTGTTAGATACTACATTTAATATCCTCCATCAGAAATCCATTTACCTAGGAGTGGTGTACTCTCAAAAATCCTAGTTACTGAATCTGAAGATTTGCCTTACATTTTCTGAGGGGGTTTGAGGGGCAGAAGGAGCTGACTTCCCCTTGTTGTTTATACAGGTGCAGCAAGAATTGGTATCTTGTAGGGTCAACGGTGTCTGAAGAGGAAGCGGATGAGAGGAGAACAAGAATGCATGTGAAACTATCTGGAGGAAAGGATCCAAATGGAAGGAGTCAGAAGTTACGAAAGGTGAACATGTCAAGAGCAAGATCAGCAAAAGTTTTGGAAGTGGAAAGCTGAATGCACCAAAGGAAGACTTTTTGTCCCAGCTACTTTTATACAATAGATCAATAATGCCAAGCTCTTTTGCTCTGTCTCAAACCTCCCCTCTTCTCACTAGAGAAGAATTCTGGGCTCAATAAACTCTGCTGAAGCACTATGGACAGAAAAAGTTCTCTAAAGCTTTGTATCAGCAAGCAACACAAAGCAGAAGAACCATCAGATACTCTGATCTGTTTTCAGTGGATCAAGTTGCTTCTCCCCTCAATTCTGTCATTGTGATTGGTATATTTTAAGAAGTGAGATGCAATATTATGCTGTTTCCAACAGAATTAGTTTTTGTGGTTTTTTTTTCTTAAATTCACCTCATTGTCATCTCACCTCATCTCTTCCTACAAATGGATCCAAAATTTTCATAGTTGATGATTGTTCACCTAGATACAGTTTTATACATTCTATCTTTGTGAAGACTTATTCTTATTCCTTGACATTTACATCTTGGACTTTACTGAAACTGAATGCTGGAGAATTTCGTGTTGGCAGGCCATTTAATATTCTCTAATTACACTAGGATTGATTAGTTTATCTGCACAACTTTTATTGTTTTCTTCTTTAAAAAAAAAGCTTGCTTTCCAGCCTTTCTACTCAGAAAGAAATGTGTTACATTTTGTTAGTTACAAAAGAACTTACTGAGGAGCTGAGAAGATGAAACATCAAAGACTATTCTCAATTGTAAAAGAATGATGAAAGAAATACAATTTCTAATAGCCAATCTAAACCTCCCCTGACACAACTTCAGGCCATTCCCTCTTGTCCTATCACTGGTCACCACAGAGAAGGGATCAGCACCTGCCCCTCCTCTTCCCCTCACAAGGAAGTTGTAGACTGTGATGAGGTCTCCCCTCAGTCTCCTCCAGGATGAACAGACCAAGTGACCTCAGCACTCCTCATAAGGCTTCCCCTCAAGGCCCTTCACCATCTCTGTTGCCCCCCCTTTGGATGCTCTCTACTAGCTTAATATCTTTCTTATATTGTGGTGCTCAAAACTGCACACAATATTCAAGGTGAGGCCACACCAGTGCAGAGCAGAGAGGGACAATCACTTCCCTTGACTGGCTTGTGGTGCTTTGCCTGATGCCCCAAGACATGGTTGGCCCTCCTGGCTGCCAGGACTGCCTGGCAGCTGCTGGCTGCTGATTCATACTCAACTTGCCATCGACCAGGACCCGCAGGTCCCTTTTCATGACACTGCTTTCCAGCATCTCATTCCCCAGACTGTCCATACATCCAGGGTTACCCCATTCCAGGTGCAGAATCCAGCACTTTCCCTTGTTGAACTTCGTGTGGTTGGTGACTGCTCAGTCCTCTAATTTGTCGAAGTCTCTCTGCAGGGACTTCCTGCCTTTGAAGGAGTCAACAGCTCCTCCCAGTTTTGTGTCATCTTCAGACTTGCTTAGTGTCCCTTCCAGTCCTGCGTCCAAGTCATTTATGAAGATGTTGAAGAGCACAGGGCCTAAGATGGAGCCCCCAGTAGTGAAAGGTCACCAGTCTGATGTCACCCCATTCACTATTACCCGTTGTGCTTGATCCATGAGCCAATTGCTCACCCACCACATGATGTGTTTATCCAGCTGTTTGCTGGACATTTTGCCCAGAAGGATCTTGTGAGAGACAGTATTGAAAGCTTTACTGAAATCCAAAAATATTACATCAACTGGCTTTCCTTGATCAGCTAAGTGGATTGCTTTCTCATAGCATGAAATCAGGTTTGATAAGGAGAACTTTCCTCTCATGACGCTGTGACCAATGACTGTGTTTTCTTTCAGGTATTTTTCAATACCTCCCAGAATAATTTTCTCCATAACTTAACCAGGCACTGAAACAAGACTAATAGGCTGTATTTTCTGGGGTCCTTCTCCTTGCCCTTCTTGAAAATCAGGACAACATTTACAAACATTTACTTTGAAATCTTTAGAGGAATAACGCTTTTACTGATGAGTGCTTTTTGTGATGAGGATTTGTTAAGAAAAGTTGAACTCTTCAAAGCAATGCTTGCAGAAAAAATGAGCAATTTACCTTTATTTGCATTGAAGAATGAGCATTGCATGGTCTCATATCCTGGACTGTGTATCCAGATCTAATAATCAATTAAAACAAAGCTGCTCTACTCAAGACTGTTACTTGAAATTTCAAGAAATGTTTTCTTTGTTGTTTTTTTTTTAAGAATAACTTTGAATTCACTTCTGAAAGGAAAACACTGCCTGTAGGATGCATTAACATCTTCATTTTCCACATGTTTGCTCAGTTACATATCTAAGCAAGATATAGGGAAAAGAAGGATAGACAGACTTGATATGTGCATCAAGATATGATTATCAAGTAATTTCATGAGTTTAACTGAAAATGTAGTTATACATCTCTAAGGATTTCTAGAGCATATAAATAAAGCAAACAATAAAGAGGGCACAATGCAGATCAGCAAAGCAGTATATATGAAAGCATTTATGGCTTACTCAGAATAATACAGCATCAAAATTCTGTAAAAACACCAAACTTGAAAGAAATTTTAAGCCTGTGTTTCTTCTTCTATAGCATGAAAAATAAAGTCCTTGGTATGTGCAGCTTAAAACCGGAATTTAAAGACCAGTATGTGGCTTTAATGGAAAACAGATGTAGGCATTTGTGTTAGAGGGCTTTATTAATTTTTTTTTTAAATATTTTTTTAGAGATTTACCTGTACAGTCGTGTTCAGAAGATATTTTCAGGAAAGAGCTTTTAAAAGAAAATATGAGAGTTTTAATTTTTATTTCAGTGATCATCCAATGGTGTTTTAAAAGAAAGCACTTGACTGCATTTTATTCACAGGGACTGAATTCAAGAGGAGTGGGGGGAGCCAGAGAGGAAAATATAATTACATTTTTTCCAAACTCAGCATACAAAATATCCTTCATGTGATTGAAGTGGTAAAATAAATTGCCACTCAGTTAATTGTGCAGATGTTCAAAATATTATAAAGTTTAATTTTATGAAGATTTTAAAAAAAGCCTAAAACAAAACAAGGAGACACTGTAATTTCTCTTTTGGTTCCAGGCAGTTCCAAAGTACTTTTTTTTTTCCTATTTGTGATTTAATGAAAATAATTCCAGCAAAATTCTAGTATTTATTTTGATGGGGAAATTTGTGCCTCCCTCACGTCATGCGTAAGCCAATGGTAGTTTTTTTAGCTAGGTCTCATTGCTTTGCATATATTTTTCTCAGAGCATTATGGTCTTATCTGTTTGACCTTTATTAAAACTATCACGGGGTGAGACTTACCAACCTGTCAGAACCCTTTAGGAAGGATTTGCTTTTTGCCATGTTTATCCCATTTCCCTAGATATTTCTAGTCCATTGCATTGAAAGAGGTTTATGAGTGCTATGCCTGGTTAGTTATAACATTGTTAGACACCACACCAATAATTATTGGGTCGGAACCACCTTGTGGGGAGAGCATGTGTGTACGTGTGTGCACATGTGTGCGTAGGGGGAAGGGATGGGTCGAACCTCACGCAGGTGGGGTGGCATCTTATCCTTCATGGCAGGTTCCCTTTCTTGATGCTTAGGGTGGCCTGGAGCTGGAGGGACTGGATTTTGACCTAAGTGTTGTGGATTGGTTGGATTTTGATTTATTGTAGATTAATTTCTGCTAAGCTGGTATTGTGGTGGAATATTTTGTCTAGCTTTTGTAGTGCCCTTTTTGAACCTTTGCCAACTTTCCTCATTTTCCCCTCTAAATTAATAAAGAAACTTCTTGGGAACAAGTCTGTGGCTTATTCTCTTGATGTTATCTTGAGGTATTAAAGAACCCTATATCTATATTTTAAAGTAAAACTCCTAGCTGAGCCCATGAGCTGGCAGCTCCCAGGGCTGGAATCTTACAAACATCTCTATTGCAGACTGGTTTTGGGTGTTCAAGCATACCCAATTTTCTTGCTACTCATCAACGGATTAATTTTTGCTCCTGTAAATCCCTTCTGTTGTAATAATATCACTTCAAAATTGACATTTCTTTAGTCTTGAAATAAGAAATGTTTTGTTCACCAAGATAACATGATTGCAATCTTCCTCTTTTTCATTAATTGTCAGTATGGAGAAAAGATGTACTTTAAAACACCGTAGTTTACAACTTTATCAGTTGATCTCTTCATTGTTACACTCCCTGTTTTGACTATAACACCATAACATGGGATAGCATATGAGCTAAAAACATTAAGACTTTGATGTTCAACTACTGTAATAAATGTTCTATAAACACTTCAGAGAGACCATTTTAAATCTATCAAAACATATGTGGATGCTATAGGAAGTTTAGGAAGACAGAATTTCATCTTTATCTAGCATTTATATAGTTACTATTTATTCTTTCTCACTCTTCAAATGTTTTCTGTATTCTGCCTAGGTTTGCTGACAGACTATAAGCCTCTCACTGGATTCTTGCAGTTCTAGAACCAGTCTGGCATCTAAGAGGACAAGACCACTAACCCAGTCAGGTTTATAGGCTTTAGCCATCACCTATCTTGCCACCCTGGCTGTGACAAAGCAGTTCTTGCCCCTTTATTGGCTGCTCACCATACTCTCATCCTGCTGCCTTCCTTATGCTTACAAGAGCCGGGGGAGCTGATCAGGGGCTGATTTAGATGGAAAAAAAAAAAAGCAGCCATGCACTATTCTCTGTATTACTCAGTTGCCTCATCTCCCTGATATAACCGATAAAGAGTCTGCCTTGGCGCTATTAAAAGAAGTGGGAAGTGGGCAGGGAAGAGTGACAGGACAGAGTCAGCCAGGAACTGCGGTTTTTGGCAGAATGCTGTGTAAATGCAAGTCAGATGGCCTTTCTGAGAGTAGTTCCCATGGAAACTGAAAAAGTGTTACTTTCCTGAAGTTTTATCACTTGGAGTTATGAATTTGTATCTCCACCGATATCTCCCTCCTCATCTTTGCGGAGAAAAGCAAGTGCCATTAAAAATAGATTTACTGAATCTAACAGTGAATCAATTCTGAACATAGTTGTTTGCACACAGTTCCCACTC